TCCTCCCCCTCCTCCCCATCCTCCTCCTGTTCCTCATGGAACTTACGATGCGGGTTGACTGTGCTGGATCGGCGCTGGGCGCCTCTGGCGGCGCGCCGAGGGGGGCCAGCGCTGATCCGAGAACTCCGCGCGGGCCTCCGACGGTTGATGCTCATGTACAGTGGAGACCAGTCCACAAGAAACCTTCCACAGGAAACACAACCCTGAGAGCCCAGGACGTCCATCGATTTTTGGCGTGGGGACGTCGCGCTGTCCATCGCAGAACCATGGAAACCCAAGAAACCCAGGGCACCCTGGAGGCAAGCAGGGTGCTTCTTGGCATGCGCCTCCACTGTATGCAGTCTTCTCTTCCTCGAACGACCGCCCAAGAACCCCAAACCCCATCGCGGTCAGGACCCCCAGAGGTCTGGACCCCGAGAGGTGTGGACCCTCAGGGGAGGGTGGGGGGGGGAGCGAGGCGGGGGACGCGCCGATCGGAGACACAATCAACAAAAAAGCAGCGGCCTTGTCAGTCACACCGTGGACCCCGAGTGGACTGGACCCCTTGGCGGGGACCGTGCTCCATCCCGAGTCGCTTGTTCACGCCCCCGAGGCCCAGGAAGGCGCCACCAGAGAGCCAACACGCAGACAGACCTCCCGTAGTGATTGTTACCTGGCCCGCAGGCGGCTCTGGGGTTGCCGTCGTCGACGACGGCGACGGGACAAACAGACCTCGAGCAGCTTCTCGCTCACCTCCGCCGTGTACTGCGCGGCCGCCGCGGCCTCCCCGCCCGCGGGGGGGAACGGCCTGTCCACCTTGAGCCCGACGCCGAGGGCAACGGCCTTGCCGGCGTTCACGATCTGGTCGCCGAAGCCGGGGCAGACCACGACCTGCTGGCCATCGCTCGGACGTCCATTCCCTGTGTTTTTCTCGGTTTCGTGCGTGGCTTCATCGCCGAATGATCAAGGATGCTCCTCGATGGTCCTCGCCGAAGGAAACATGCACACGTCCGAGCGATGCCAAGCCTGGGGTGCGAGGCGAGGACGGACCCACACCCGCTGCCTGGGGAAGCGACGTCCTGGGAGCCAAGCGGGCCAGGGGGGCCCGAACGCATCCACATCCACCGCCTGCCGAGGTCCCCGAGGATCGATATCCTCTCAGGCGGCGGTGCGGGAGAAACGTCCCCGCCTTGGACAAGAGGAAGGACAGACAGAGCGAGCGAGAGCAAGAAGCTTGGATCCGCGCGCCGATTTCGTGCATCGGCGCTGGAGCCCCTCCCTGACGCGGCGTCGCGCCAGGGGGGAGACGGGAGGGGCGCCGCCGATCCCAGAGATCCGCGCGGAGCTCTGGATGTCTGCCCGCCGGTCGGAAGCAGTGGGGAGAAACACGAGGCTGGAGGGCGGACAAAGCACAGCAAACAAAAAGCCACACATCGACTCTTCAGTAGGAGGGCGCTTGCAGTAGATTGGAATCTGGGAATCCAGAGATACCAGCTTTCAACGACCGACGGACATGCAGTGGAGGCCAGTCCACAAGAAACCTTCCACAGGAAACACAACCCTGAGAGCCCGGGACGTCCATCGATTCTTGGTGTGGGAACGTCATGCCTTCCATAGCAAAACCATCGAAGCCCAAGAAACCCATGGCATCCTGGAGGCAAGCGGAGTGCTTCTTGGCATGGGCTTCCACTGTGGTTGTGCAATGATGTTGCTCCTCCTCGCTGACCGGCGTGCCGTGCGCCAGCGCCTCGGTGAAGCTGTTCTGGCCGCCGTGCGTCAGGAAGAGGTCCACCCCGGCCCTCAGAACGTCAACCTGCTTGGTTAGTGGGGGCCGCCAAGAGGGCGGCGTCCAAGCGGGGGGCGCAAATCATGGCCGGCGGCATGTGCGCGGCCCAGGGGGGGGGTGCGGGGAGGTGTTGAAATACGAAGAGGCGCCATGACATCTGGGCAGGTATCATGGCCCCCGCCATGATATCCATCCCCCCTGGTCCTCACCCCCCTCTTGGCCGCCCCCGAGTTAGACACAAGCGCGCTCCACGACTCGCAAAGTGAACTACTCGCAAGTGGCCTGGATCCGCCGCTGGCGACCTTACGACGCACTGCGCGGCGAAGCAAGCGCGCGCCTCTCGGACGTCTGCGAGCACCGGCACTCCGCGAGCAGCGGAGCGCTCCCGGCGAGCGGCGGGGCGCGGGGCCCCGGGCGGCGTGCGGACAGGCGCCCCTCGGCAGCCCCCGCGCGCCCCTGGCGGGCCCCTCCGGGCCCTCAGTCCCAGCCGGCCGCGGCGGGCCCACACCGAGCAGCCCGTGGCGGGCGGGCGGGCGCCCAGCGCATCCCCACCCAGCTGGGGGGCGCGGAGCGCCCCGCGGGCGCCGCCCGAGGCGGCGCCCGCGCGCCGAGACCCGCCCGGGCCTCTCGGGGGGGGGGGCCCTCTGCTGGCCAGGTGGGGCTGCGCGTGGGTGCCCCGCTGGGGCCCGCCGGGGCCACCCGGGGGGGGTGTGTGCTGTCGCAGCGCGGCCCGCGGCCTCTCGGTCCAAACAGTGGGCACGAGGGCCCCTGCGCCGAGGGCCCATCAAAGGGCCCGTGGAGAGAAGGCGAGGGCCACGCCAAGGAAGCAAGCACGAAGACCGCAAGGGCGCCCCCCAGAGATATAATGGGGCTGCTCGCAGCCCTCGTTGCGCACCATGCGGCAGGTTCGTGCCGCGAGGACCCCGAGCGCCGGTTCTTGACGCCGCGTGGACCGTCCAACCTCTGGCGGCGGGCGAACCCCTCGGTCGCCAGAGCTGCCCACACCGGCCGAGACTCTGGGCCCCTGGCGGCGCTCCACTCCCAGACATGCGACGTGCTGACTTTTGTCAGGACGGCGTCCCCGGAAGTCTATAGACCCTCTCTCCGGGGCCGGATGTTCCTCCCGAGTCGTTTTTGTTGACGCTCCTGGGGACCGGCGAGGGCCCCCAGGAGCCGAACGCGCCGAAAAACTTGCCGCCCTGAGTCTTTTGCTACGACGCGATCGTGCCTGGCCTTGGCGCGCCCGCGCTCGGGACGCACGCGCGGCGACGCGGCACGAGCCCGCCGACGCCAGGCCTGCGGCACCGCCGGAGCGCAGACCGCGTTGGGCGGCGCGGCGAGGACCCCGAGCGGCGCGGCCTGCGGCCCCAGGGAGACCACCAGCAGCGGGCCCTCGCCCCCGCGGGGCGCGCCGAGGGCGCGGAAGAGGCCGCCCCAGGCGGCCTGGCAGAGCTCCCGGCCGGTGAGGCCGCACTCCAGGCCGTCCGGGCCCTCGCGCGGGGGGAGGGCCGTATAGGACACAGGAAGGGGGGGGGACAAGGTGGGGAACGAGATTCAGGGGAACAAGAGGTGGCATAAGCATAAAAACTCGGAGGTCCGCGCGGATTTCTCGCATCGGCGGTGGGGCCCCCCGGCGGCGCCTCCGGCGCCGCCCCTGGCGCGCTGCGCGCGCCATGGAGGGGGGTCCAGCGCCGATCCGAGAAATCCGCGCGGACCTCCGAAGTTTTATGTTTATGCCACTTTTGTTTCCCTACGATTAAGTCGGGCCTGTCCCCCTACACGGGGATTTTCGCCGAAAAATCAAGAATGGCCCAAAAATAATAAAAAAAAAAATTGTGCAGGGACTATGTTTTGATTGTGTTCTGTTTTTTGTGCTAATTTGTTTGGTATCGATATTTTTCGTCGACAATCCCCCTGTAGGGGGACAGGCCCGACTTAACCCTACGAGAGGCCGGGTGGCCTCGCCCGGCCTCCGGCGCCTCTGGGCCGTCGCAGGCGGATCCAGCTCGGCAGAGAGGCGGCGCAGGAACGCGGGAGACATGGGGCAGAACGAGCGATTGCAAAAAAACCCGATTGTAAAAAAAACGATTGCCAAAAAAACCGATTACAAAAAAAAACGATTGCACAAAAACCGATTGCAACAAAAAAAACGATTGCAAAAAAAAACGATTGCAATCGGGCGCAATCGTTCGGTCCGGGGCGCCTGTCGTGACGTGTCGCTCTGTTCCACGTCGTCGCGACGTCGGATCGAAGGGGGGGGTGCTGGCGCAGGGGCGGGGGAAGGGGAGGGGCCTGACATCGACCTGGAACCAGCGAAGCATCGCCGATCGCTGAAGAAGAAAAGACGGCGTGAGCATAAACTGTTGGCGCTCCGCGCGGTTTGCTTGGATCTGCGCTGGACCCCCCTCCCTTGCGCGCGGAGCGCGCCAGTGGCGGCGCCGGAGGCGCCGCTTGGGGCTTCGAGATAGATCGGCGAGCTGGGGGCGCCGGGGGCGGCGCCGGAGGCGCCGCTGGGGGCTGGAGGCGCCGGGGGCGCCGCTGGGAAAGTTTATGTTTATGCCTTTTTGTCTCCTTCGAGATAGATCGGCGATAGGCCCCCAGTTGCGAATCCGCACGCTCCTAGGCGGCGTGGGCCAGCGGTCCCTCACCGGCGATCCATGGGAGATCTGGGGTCGACGCCCTCCTGAGCCTATCCCCCGTAACGTTAGGTCGGGCATGCCCCCCTACAGTCTGATTTTAACGGCAAAATGAACATAGTCAGAACATATGAAAAATGATCAAGCGTAGCAAAACGAATTATCCCAAAACTATGTTTTTACTATGTTGGGAGATTCCTCCTGTAGAGGGGCCTGCCTGATCTAACCCTAACGGTGCTCATGATCAGGGTAACAAGTCGATTCCTGAACCTCTCCTGGGGTGCGTTCTGCCAACAACTTCGAGGCGGACCCAGCCGTGGCCACGAGGGCGCCCCAGGACGAACCAACAACCTCCAGAGAGCGAGCACGGATCCTCGAACCTCGAACCAGTGAGCCTATTCTCTGCCACGCGCAGAGGGGGGTGTCGGAAGGGGGGAAGCCATCTTCGAGGCACCCCCCCTCTTAGAAGGCGCGCGCCCCTTCTAAGAAGCCCGTGGTTGCTTCTTAAAAGCTGTTCCTGGCGTGTTTCTAAGCAGCAGGCGATTTGCTTCCCAGAAGCGATGGTTGCTTCTCAGAAGCAGCTCCATCTTGTAAGAAACTGCCAGGGCCCTTCTAAGAAACGCCGCGCCCCTGGCTTCTTAGAAGGGCGACCGGCGCCTTCTAAACCACAGCCGCCTTCTAAGAAGCTTTCCCCCCTCCCTCTGCCCCCCTGTGCACGACGCCAGTAATACGGTATTCTTTTCCCCCGACGCTGCCCCCGACCTTGGCGCGCGCGTTCCAGCCGAGGCCGGGCACGTCCCCAGTGAGCACGGTGCCCATGCTCGCCAGCACGACCCCCCGGCCCGCGGCGCGCGCCTCGCGGACCTTCGCGAGCACCTCTGGAGGCATACGGCAGAGCCACAACACAAGCAGGAACTCTCGGCACCGCTCTCGCGGATCGCTCGCATCGGCGCGGGGCACACATCGCAGAGGCGCGCGGGAGCGAGGCTGGGCGGGGGTAGGGAGGTAGGGGGGGCCAGGGAGGGGTAGGGGGAAGGGGAAGGGTGGGTAAGGGTAGGGGGTAAAGGGGAAGGGGATAGAGGGTAGGGTGGAGGTAAGGGGGGGTCGTCGGAGGCGCCGCCAGGGGCGCCCTGTCGCCGATGCGGATCCGCGCGGAGCTCCAAAAAGTTTGCGTGCTTTTGCAGCTCGGTGGGGCGACGACATCTGTACTCGGGGGCGTTCCCGAGGGGGGCGTCCAAGAGGGGGAGGCGCAAATCGGGGCCGGCGGAACGTGCGCGGCCCAGGGGGAAGCCGTAGACTCACTGAAACAAGAAGAGGCGCCAGGAAATCCGGGGAGATATCATGGCCCCCGCCATGAAATCCACACACCCCTAGTCATCCCCCCCCTTCTTTTGGGGGGGAACGAAGAACGACGTAAACATACAAAACTCGGAGGTCCGCGCGGACTTCTCGGATCCGCGCTGGACCCCACTGGCGGTGCCTCAAGCGCCGAATCTGGCGCGCTCCGCGCGTCAGGGAGAGGGGTCCAACGCCGATCCAAGACATCCGCGCGGAGCTTCGAGTTGATATGTTCATGCTCCCCTATGTTTCCCCTGTCTTTGTCACTCTTCCTTCCCCTATCCTTCCCCTGTGTCAGTCATCGTTCCCCTAACTATCTTCTTCGTTCTGTGATGTTTATGCCATTATTCGTTCCCCCATCTTTGCTGCCCCCGATGTGCATGTCTTTGGAGTCACGAAGTGGTGCGGTGACAGACCGTGCGGTGACCTCAAAATCCCCCAAGACGTCACCGCACGGTCCGTCACCGCACGGTCTTGGCCCCGAATTCCCACCGACTAAGCACACGGTGTGGTCACCACACCGCTTGGGGGCCCCAGGAGGAGGAGGAGGAGGACGACGACGAGGAGGATGAGGAGGAGGAGGAGGAGGGAGGAGGGAGGAGGGAGGAGGGAGGAGGAGGGAGAGGAGGAGGAGGGAGGAGAGAGGAGGAGGAGGAGGAGGAGGAGGAGGAGGAGGAGGAGGAGGGAGGAGGAGGAGGGAGGAGGAGGAGGAGGAGGAGGAGGAGGAGGAGGAGGAGGGAGGAGGGAGGAGGGAGGAGGGAGGAGGGAGGAGGGAGGAGGGAGGAGGAGGAGGGAGGAGCTCTCCCCAGGCCCCTCCCCGGGGCCAGGCATGGGGCGCAGACGGCCCTCCTGGCCCCCGGCCCGGGAGGCGCGCAGGCCCCGCTCCGGGTCCAGCCTCGCCGCGTCGTCGCGCCAAGGGCGGGGGTCGGAGCGCCCTCGGCGCGCGGCGGCTGCCCGCGCCGGGGGTCGGCGTGGGGCAGTCGGCTCAGCTAACCCTCTTGGTACAATCACTGTGCGACGAACCCTCACGGAATACCTTTTGGAGGTTGTGAACATGTCAAACGGTCAGGAAGAAAAAATTGTATGCCTGAAGTGATCCGGACAGTGCTCGTATGATCCGGTATGGCGCTGTCGGCATTCCTACATGCCTACCACGACATATTCTCAGAACCCAAAACTGTTCTGAGGACGCTTCGCTACTGCTTGAGATGTGGGGCTGTCGGTGGGCGTGACGCCCCCCCGACGCTGATCAAGAAGCTAGGAGTACACGCTGGTCGGGAGAGGTATGGGTCGAGACATGAAGCAGGAAGGCGGAGAAACATCAGGTTGGGTCCAGGCCCTCCCAAATAATCAGAAAGCAAAACGCGAAAGCATACCGACTCTTGAAGCAAGAGGGCGCTCGACATAGCTTGGGATCAGGGAGTCTAGAGATGGACCTACTCTTAAGTCGGGCGTGTCCCCCCTATAGGGGGATTGTCGACGAAAAAAATACCCCCAAAAATAGAAACAAAAATTATACAACAAATAGTGTGGGGAGTATTTCTTGAGTATTGCTTGACCTTTTTGAAGTATTTTTGGGGTATGTTTTCTGTCGAAAATGCCCCTGTAGGGGGACACGCCCGACATAAACCTACTCTCAACGACCGGCATGCACAGCTCTCGGCACACCACAAATCTGGCCGCCCAAAGCCTTCCCGAACAAGACAACGGCATAAAACATGCTCCGCGCGGCCTTCTTGGACCTGTGCCGTCAGGGGGGGGGGGGGGCTGGCGCAGATCCACTGCATGCCCGCGAGGAGTGCCAAAAGCGTGTCAGGCTGTGCATCTCGTTGTTCCTCCTTCGATTCTTCTTAAAACAGGGCTAGGATCGGGATAAATCGCTCCAGAGCGTTCCGGAGCGCTCTCAGAGCGTTCTGGAACGCTCTGGAGCGGCCGCGGCGCCCAATACATCCTCCAAACCCGCCGATTCTCAGAGATTTCGCGTTCTCCCGATCCGATTTTGCCCCGACCCTCGCGTCGTTTTACTGCTTCGAACCTCGGCGGAGGTGGCGCCCGCGCCGCCCGCCGGCAACTCCTCGCCCTCCGCGCCGGCAGCCGACCGGTGCCCGGCCACGCGGCGCGCGCCCGCCGCGTCCAGCAGGGGCCCCACGAAGGCGAAGCGGGAGCCGTCTGCCTCGTACGCCCGGGCCAGCTCGGGCGCCACGGGGTCCTGCAGGTCCTCGGGTTTGGGTGGGCGTGCCCTCCTACAGTCGGGGCGTTGACCTAAAAGGAACCCCAAATGAGGAACGAGGCCCCTGTTTTCCATAGGTTGGACTTCGATGTCCGATCGAAAACCCAAGGAAAACCTGAGGCAAGCTGCGAAACACTTAAGGAACGCGGAGCCCCTCCCCAACGAAAAGGGTTCCTTGTTCAGGGCCCCGACTGTACAGGCAGATCTTGGACGAAAAATGAACACTGCACGCCAAAACTACTCAAGAGTAGCCAGGGAAGAATCGAAACATCGCCCCAGTACTATGTTCTGAGTATGTGGGAATCTTTCTGCGGTAGAGGGACATGCCCGACTGAATCCTCGGTCGTCGTCACCAAGTTCACGGCAGCGAACCTCACGCCGTTGTCCTGAGTGAGGAAGAGGAGAAGGCGGCGGAGACACACATGCAGGGCAGTGTTTAATACATAGGATGTTAAACAAGGACTTTAATACATGATCAATATATGAGTAAATGTATGCATGAACTCCTCGTTGTGTTCGATACTAGATCTCTGCATGTTTGATACATGATCCGCACGCGGAGCATGCATTAAAAACGGCACTGTACTCTGAGCTCCGCGCCGGGACGTCGGCACGGGGCACGGACGTCGGCTCGACGCCGCCTCACGGGGGTGCGGCTCCGAGCCGGGACGTCGGCACGGAACTCTGACCATGTTCTCAGAACCCAATAAGGTTCTAAGAAAAAACAATGTTCTTAGAACATAAACCCGATGTGATAAAACAAGACATACTGCGCCAAACATGTTCTAAGAATATTTCGTGGAAGCCACGAAAGGTTCTTAGAACATTGTTTGGTAGGGCTATAGGCTTGAGTGATGCTTTTGCCGTGTCTCCGGCTTCGAGTCCTTGCCGAAGGGCATCGGGAGCCCAGACTTCAGGCCGAGGCCGTACCGCTCGTTGAGGCGGCCCACCGCCGCTGCATCGGGCTCCATGGAGTCCACCCAGCGCTGGAAGGCGTCGATGCTCAGCCCCTCCTCCGTCAGTATGGCCTGGAGAGTTGTGGCCAGAGCTCCTGGGCGAACAACACAATACCCATGACCCTAGCTACTCCACAAATCTCTCCTAGGGTGCGTTCTGACTAGAATTTCGAGCCGTGGCGAAGAAGGCCTCTCTAAAGGGCCGAAGACGCGAAAACGAGACATGGGTAGCGGCGCAGGTACCTTTTCCTCCTCTGAGCTCCAGGACCCGCTATGGTGTTCAGCGACGCAGACGGGATGCCGACCACCTTGGCGGCGAGCATCGCTTCTGGGCAGCTCAAGGGGCAGTACACCACTCCGTCGGGCGACAGGTCGCGCAAGAATCGCACAGTCCCTGGCATCTTCCGCTCGAGAAGGATGTTCCTAACACAAGAGAGATTCACCATCTTAAACTCGAGGCCCAGCTCATGGAGCAGATCGCCAAAGACCTTCATGACGTCCACCTGCGCAGAAATTCCAAACATCTCGGTCAGGTACTCCACGGTCGAGTGCCACGTGGCCCCCGTGTCCACGACGGCCTCTCGGAACTGGTCGAAGGACAGGTAATGGACGGCGTGGCCCTTCTGCACCAAAGCGCGTGCCAGCGGTAGCGATGGATTAACGTGGCCCGACGCCATTGGGAAGATAAAAGCAAAAGTGCGGGGCGTGCACTTCGGCTCGAAAGCGGTCGCCATCCTCCAACCGCCAACTGCAAGGAGACCGCCCGGGTAGTCAAGGCCTGCTCAACTGGGCCTCGCGTTCCGCGCTACCTTGAGCTTTATCAGACAGCAAGCTATGAAAGTGGTGGTGGTCCTGGCTACGCTGATGATGGTCATGGCGGTGATGATTGTGGTGAGGGTGAGGAGACGGACGGGAGTGTACCACAACCCCAGCCGTTGCGGATACGGGTGAGGGGTCGGCGGAATCATAGGCGGACTGCGAAGAAGCCCGCCGCAACCGCCGGTAATCACACATGGCACAGCGAAGTCCACCACCAACGCCGAATTCACCTCAAATCCACGCGGGGGGTCCCGGGTGGGTCGCGGGTGGGCCGCAGGCGGGTCGCGGGCGGGTCGCGTTTGGGTCGCGGGCGGGTCGAGGGCGGGTCGCGGGCGAGGACGACGACAACAGCGGACAACACTCAGTTTACCATAGTGCGCTATGCAGCATGTACTCATCATGCAGCGGCGATGCCCAAACAAACGATGCCGAACCGATGTCTGGACCCTCGAGAGGCGATGCCCTTGAGAGGCGATGCCCAAACGACGTCTCAACCCTCGAGTGACACGTGAGAAAATCGAGCGGGACCTAAACGTTGTGTTTCGTTTCGTTGTTGCCGTGCTGATCGTTTTGCTCTACCTCTGTCCCTGCACCTTCCTGCCAACACGACAAACATAACACAGCCGAAGTCCAGCAACACAGCGTTCAGGTCCAGCCCTGTGAGAAGATAAGGCGGGAGCGTGGTCGTTGCGGGCAGCGATGGGGGCCCGTCGGCAGCGCCACGGCGAGAGCACAGCCTCCAGAGTCAAAAGCGGGAGGCGCTCGAGCGGGAGTTCTGATCTGGAAATTGGTGGCCGCTCTGCGGCGACTCCAAAAGCGTGCGGTTTGAAAAAGGTGCGGTTTGCAGTCGGCACCCAGGAGAACATCCCGGAGGGCACCTCCCGGGGAGGGCCGGAGCCTCGATGGCGTTCTCCCGCGCCCCGAGGAGGCCCGACGAGGGCACCGTTTTGCCCCCCAAGGCCCCAACGGTGCCGATCGCAAACCAAACCCCAGCGTAACCATACCGTATGTAGTCGCCGAGGTCCTCGGCGACGAGCCCGAGCGCTGGCCTTGAGCAAAAAACGAGGAAGTATCCTCGGGAGCGGCCAAGAGGGGGGTGTCCAAGAGGGGGGTGTGCAAATCATGACCGGCGGCGCGTGCGCGGCCCAGCGGGGGGGCCACGGACGTAATGAAATAAGAAGAGGCGCCACGAAATCTGGGGAAATATCATGGCCCCCGCCATGATATCCACCCCCCCCTTAGTCATCACCCCCCTCTTTTCCGCTCCCGATATCCAGCGGGAAACTCGTTGTTGTAGAGGGGTCGCTTTGCGGGCTGGCGCACGCCACTCGGAAAATCGAACGGGAGCGCGGTTTTTGAAGGGCGACTGGTTCCCGGCGGCGAGCAAGAAGGCCACTCTTGAGTAATAACTAGCGAATATCTAGCGGGAGCGTCGTCGTTGCAGGACGGCCGGCTTGCGGACTCAAGGCGGGGACGCCACCACGCGGTAAACATCTACGAACAATCAATCGATCGGGAGCGCTGGTCGGCGGCGAGCAAGACCACTGGATTTGAGTTAAAAGAAGTGAAGCATCATGCGGGAGCCTCGTTGTTGCAGCGGGCTGGCAAGCAGACCCAGAGCGCGAACGCTACCACAAGGCAAAAAACAAGGAAACATCGAGCGGCAACGCTGGCTTTGTTGGAAGGCCGGCTTTCGACGGCCGGGCTCATGCGCCCGCTGGACGCGAAGGCGGAACGAGCGTCCAGCGACGCCAGTGCATCCAGTTAACTACACGCTGGGGTCTGCGATCCTTCGAAGTCGGCCCACGTCCACCTTCACACTTCAGGGGCAAGAGGGGGCGGACGTGGGGCGGGTTGAGGGTGGTTCGCGGGTGGGTCGCGGGGGGCGGGGCGCGGGGGGGATCGCGGGTGGGTCGCGGGGGGACAGCGACAACAAGCAACACCAACACCAACACCAACACCAACACCAACACCAACACCAACACCAACACCAACACCAACAACAACAACAACAACAACAACAACAACAACAACAATCACAACAACAACAACAACAACAAATGCAACACCAACAACAGCAGCAACAACAACAACAACAACGATACCAACAACAACATATACAACAACAGCAGCAACAACAATAACAACAACAATAACAACAGCAGCAGCAGCAACCACAACAACAATTAGTCTAAGACTGTTGCTCTTACTTGCCCGCGTACCATTCAAAACGAGTTCCCCACACCCTCGATACCCGCCCTGTGTGTCCTCGACCACACCCCCTTTTGACGGGTTCTTTCTCTTTGCGGGGGGCGGCGGGCTTAGACAGGCGGGCAAACCTGAACGGGCGGACAATCCTTCGTGGGCGTACATGTGCCCGCCATTGGACTTGGTGTGGGCCTTGCAAAAAGAGGAGGGGGAGAACGAGGGAGAGTGGAAGGAAGGGAAAGGGAAGGACGAGGGAAGAGGGAAAACGCCAGGAGAGAAGAGGGGTGCGGTTGATTAGAGGCAGAGAGAGGAAGAGAGAAAGACAGATAAGAGAGGTAGAGAAAGAGAGAGAGAGAGAGAGAGACGGGAGAGTGAGAGAGAGAAAGAAAGAGGGAGGGAGGAGGCAGGAGAGGGGAGGGAGAAGGGAGAGGAGGGAGAGGGGATAGGGCAGAGAGGCATAAGGATGAGGGAAAAGAGAGGAGGGAGAGAGAAGGGAGGAGAGGAGGGAGGAGGGAGGAGGGAGAGGGAGGAGGAGCAGGAATGTAACAGCGTGAAAGTTCGAGGAAGTCCTAGGCGAAAGCGCCGTTCCTGAGTGAGGTCTCGGTCGGGAGCCCACGACGGGCGGGCGATCCCCTGACAGACGGGTCGGGCGGGTGGGACATTCAAGCGGGATGCCTGAGTAGGGCGAAAGCGCGATGACAAAGTAAACTGTAACGGCGTCCTTGGCGCAGCGTGTTTCCTGAGCGTCGAAAGTGCGATTTCTGAATTAAGTGCATGGAAGTCGCAGGCGAGAGCGCAATTCCTGAATAAAATGTGAAGGGTTCTCTGGCGGGAGCGAGGGCCTTGATTATATTGCGAGGAAGTCTTGCTTCAATTGCGAGGAAGTCTCAAGCGGGAGCGCCGTTCCTCAGTAAATTGTGAGGAAGTCTCAGATGGGAGCGGGGGTCCTGACTAAATTGCGAGGAGGTCACAGGCGGGAGCACCGATCCAGAGTAAATTGTAAGAAATCTCAGGAGCGGGGGTCCTGAGTAAATTTGGGAGAAGTCTCAGGCGGGAGCCGTTGTTGTTGTAATCCGGGGGGCCAGGGGCACAGTTTGAGCACCAAGACTATCCTCGTCAAAAAACAGGGTGTGAGGGGGCATCAACAACAATTATGTTTCAGAGGTGAGAGTTCAACAACGACAACAACAACGACAACCACAACAACAACAATCATTTTAAGACTGTTCGCCTTTATCTTCTCGAGTGTCATTCAACGTGCATTTCTCGAGCTCTCGATACCCGCCCTCTTCGTCTTCGATCATGCCACTTCTGATGGGTCTGCATTTCTTCGTGAACTCTCCGTGATTAGCCAGGCAAGATCCCAGCGAGAGAACGTGTCCGAAGTAAATTTGAGGAAGTCCCCAGCGAACGCGCGATCCCCGAATGGCAAGAGCGCGGCGCCAGAGTAAATTGCGTTGAAGTCTCAGGCGGGAGCGCGATTCTGGACCAACTTGCGAGGAAGTCTCAAGCGGGAGCGGGGGACCGGAATGAATTTGGAGGAAATATCAAGCGGGAGCCGTTGTTGTTGTAAACCGGGGGCCAGAGGCACAATTCGAAGAGGAAAACCTTCCCTGATAGAAACAGGGTGCGAGCGCAGGGAGAGACACTTCGATTGAAAAAGTTTCCATGTGCACCGGAGGGGGGATCAAAAATATTTATTCTAGTGAAGCTTCAACAACAGCAACAACGACGACAAAAACGACAAGAACGACACCAACACCGACATGGCAAACGACAACGACAACGACAACAACAAACAACAAGAACACTAACACCAACAACAACAATATCAACAACAACAAAAGCAACACGGGTAACAACAATCATCGAACGACTGTTCGTTCTGATATGTAGGCGTGCAATTCAACATGTATCCTCCAAGGCCTCGACACTCTCCCTCTTCGTCTTGATTGTTGATCGCACCCCTTTTGGGGAGATAGATGTAGCACCCCGCAATTGCCGATATAGTCGCATGTGGGTCGCGGGATGGGTGCGGGTGCGTCGCGGGGTGGGTCGCGGGTGGTTCTCGGGTGGGTCGCGAGTTGGGTCACGAATGTGTCGCGAGGTATGTCGCGGGTGGGATGATGATAACAAACAACACACAACGCAACAACAACAATACACACAAACAATAACGACAATAACAACACAAACAACAACAGCATCCGCAACAACAACATGAACAATAATAAAAGCAACAACAACACCAACACCAACGAGGCAACACCAACAATCATGTCAAGTCTGATCGCTCTTATCTGCTCGCGTGCCACTCAACTCGCATACCCCACACTCTCGATATCCGCCTCTTCGTCTTCGATCGTGCCCCCATGGGGGTAGATCGTCCTTACCACCCGCGCGTAATTGGTGAAGCCCCTGAACAAGTGGAAAATGGGACGGATGGATGGGGGAAGGGAAAGGATGCAACACGGTAAAAACAGTAGGGGAGCCAGGAGCAGAAAACACGTGGCAGAGCCAGACGGTCAGATTGGGTGGGCAGACCCGAACAGGCGGGTTGCGGAGGCGTGCCCAGGCGGCCAGGTCGAGCAGGCGGGATGCTAAAACGTGGTTTCTGCATGAATCGCGAGGACGTCTCTAACGATGGCGCGATTGCCAGCTAAACGGTGAGACGTCCAGACCGAGAGCGTGACTCCAGTGTGTCGAGGGCGCGGCGTATGAATACATTGCGAGGACGTCCTACGCGAACGCGCGATTCCTGAGTACATTGTGAGGAAGGGCCGGGCGAGAGCGCGACTTGACAATGTACTGCGAGGAAGTGACACGCGGGAACCGCTGTTGTTGTTGTAAGCCGACGGGGCTATAGCCCAATGTGGTGGCCCCTCACTTTCCCTGGTGCAGAAAAACGGGTGCGAACTCCAGGGCAAGCGCTCGAATTGAACGCATGCAGTGGTTGTCAGAGGAGGGCCAACATACAAATTCTAACAGTGGCAGTTCAGAAACCACAGCAACACCAACAGCAACCTGAACAGCACCAGCAGTCAACAACATCAATGGCAAAAACAACAACATCAACCACAACAACAAGCACACCAACACTCAATCTAAATATGTTCGCTCTCAAATGCTCGCGTGCCACTCAACACGTATATCCCCAACCTTCGATACCCGCTCTCTTCGTCTTCGATCGTACCACCTTGGGAATATGTCTTTCTTAACTGCAATGTGTATTCCGTGCGGCCCCACAAGCAGGGGGGCGCGAATAGGAGTGTGAGAGAGAGTGCCAGGACGGGATCTCTAAACATAAAACGCGTGGCAGAACCAGGCGGGCAAATCGGGCGGGTAGACCCTAACAGGCGGGTCGGGAAGGCGGACCCAAGCGGCCAGGTCAAGCAGGCGGGTTGCTGAAGCGTGCGTCCTTCAGGGATCGCGGAGAAGTTTCAAGCGACAGCATGATTCCCAAATGAATATTGAGGGAATCCAGAGCGAGAGTGTAATTCTTGAGTGTCTAGGGCGCGGCGTCCCAGTACATTGGAGGAAGTCCCACGCGAACGCGCGACTTCTGTACACATTGTGCGGAAGTCCCGCGCGAAAGCTCGCTTTGGGAAGGCCTCGTGGGGAAATAGCAGGCGGGAGCCGCTGCTGTTGTAACTCAAGGACCAGGTGCCCCATTTGGTGGCACCACGCCTTCTCCTGTACATGACAAACGGCCAACCACAAGCAAAGCGCTTGAACGAAACATGACATTGTTACCGAGGAAGGGGGATACGCAACACTTATCCTTTAGACGTGCAACATTCAGAAACAACAACAACAACAACAACAACAATCATTTTACCCGAACGCGTGGTGTTCTCCCCAGTGCCAGGGTTTTCATACGACACCAGGCAATACCCCCACTTCGTGGGGGGGCATTACAAGCTCTACCAAATATCCAAACGACTCTTCGCGACCACCCAAACCCAGCTTCCCGCCCTATGACGTTGGGACACTTCACTTCGTGGCGTGCGGACGACCGTGGCTACTACACTGGCGTGGGGTACACACCCACAGAACTTGGTCACTTATTCGGGGCGCGCATGTGCCCAGCATGGTGCAATTGTGCCATACAATACATAATACAGAGAGACAGAGAGAGAGACAGAGAGCAGACAGAGAGAGAGACAGAGAGAGCGGAGTTGGTCACATTTTTGGGTCAAGTTCCTGGGATGATGGGAATACACAACTCTGTTACATTTGATAGTGTGCACGACACACATGAGATGATACGTACCGCAAGATAGTTGGTTTTGTGGAATTCCTGGGCGAATGTGTCCCGCATGGTATTATTTGACAGGGATGATGGCCCTGGCAGGTGCGCAACCGTTGTCGCAGAAGTTCGAAAAAGTTGCTCGCAAAAGCCCGTTTGACAGAAATGTTTAAAAAGTGTTGGGTTTCCTACGAATCCGCAAGAGCGCGCGGGATGAGATTTTGACATTTTTTTGTTGAAAAACCATTGGTTTTTTGATGTTTTTATGTTAAAATCGCTCCGAACACTAAGCTTTTGGAAGGATTTCGTCTTGCGCGCGCGAATGTCCACTTTACCTTATTTTTTGCAAGGGATTCTTGAAATTTGATTATATTAGAACAAGAAATGTCATTTTATAGTGTTTTTTGCAAGGGAAAACGGATTACAACAAAACAACCGGATCTGGACCCCATCCACTTTTCTGAAGCTTTCGCGAAAAAATGATGAAAATGTAGCTGCGGCCTAGGCGCGGCGGGGGGGCCGTGCACCAGGGGCCCCAACAATAATTATTCTTTAGAATTAATAATGTTCAACAACCTCAATAACTACCACCGCGACATCAACAACAACCACAACCACAACCACAGCCACAACAACACCAACCACAACAATAACATCAACAATAACTTCACCAACAACATCAACGTAAACACCAACATCATCAACAACACTATTGTTAAAACTGTTTGCTCTTACTCGCGTGCGTGCCATTCAACTCGTCGATCCCGAACCCTCGATACCCGCCCTTTCCGTCTTCGACCTTACCCCCTTGGGGGTACATCTTCTTTTTACCTTCCACGTACAGTCAGCGCAGCCCCTAAAACAACAGGGGGACAGAACGGATGGGTGAGGGAGAAAGACGGAGCACGAGAGAGATTAGCAGGACGCGAAACAGGAACAGAAAACACGTGGCAGAGACAGGCGGGCTGATCGGGCCGTAGACCCTACAACAACGGGAGTGTCAGTAAGGCGGGCCAAAGCGGCCAGGTCGAACAGGCGGGATATTGCAGCATGCGTCCTGCATGAATCGCGAGGATATCTCCCCCGTGCCCCTTGTTTCTTTCCATCCGTCCTCTCTTTCCCTGCCTCAGGGGGTGCACGAAATACACGCTGTAGCTAAGAAACACACACCCCTAAAGGGGTAGGATCGAAGACGAAGAGGCGGGTATCGAGGGTTTCACGCGAGCAGGTAAGAGCGAACAATCTCAAAACGATTGTGGTTGATGTTGGTTAGACCGAGGGCCAGGGGCAGTCTGAGGCCCAATATCGTCCCTTCTAGGAGAACAATGCCGAGCCCCAGGAAAGGCAGCTCAATTGAACAATGCAATGGGCACGCCATGGAGGAGGTCAACAATAGAGAACTCAAAACCATCAACATCAACCAGAAAGAGAATCCGGAACACAGAATCCCACTTCACCCACGAACCCAAGGATGGTGTAAGACCGCTCGGCCCCCTCACTCTGATTGAGGGCTACTGCGCCCGATTAGGGGGCCATTGAGCCAGATTGCGTCAATTTAGGCCTAGAATGCGCGCGACAAAGCCAAATTAAGGGGGATTATTGGAAATTGAGCGGGACTACTCCTGATTAGGCTTGTTTCGACCACGGATGCACCAGCGCGGATCCTGAATTAACTCTCCCAGGAATTGCATCCTAACCACCACATAGAAATGCATGCTCCCCCCTCCATCTGCTCCTCCAACTCCTCGAAAACCGGGAGGACAAGGCAAGCAAGGCGGAACAGTGAATCAAGCTGGCGGGCGACGGCGACCAAGGCCTTCCGGCAGGTGGACGCCGAAACCAGGGCTCGCTCCGAGCCTATGCAACAAGAGAGCCACGCTGGTGAAGCAGCGCTGACATTCTACTGAAATGGCTGCATCGGCCCCCTCGCCCCTGGCGGAGCCTAAACTGGCCCCACCGCTGACAGCATCAGGGTGTCACTGCGCATGGGCCATGACAGACTTGGCGACGACGGCGAGACAAGGAGGAGGAGGAGGAGGAGGACGACGAAGACGACGAGAGGAGACGGTGCCGACGAGGAGGATGACGATGACCAGGCGAGAAGGAGTAGGAAGACAAAAACAACGACGACGACGACGACTGAGACGACGACAACGAGGACGAGAGAAGGAGGAGGTTTCGGAAGAGGACGACGACGACGACGAGGCGAGGAGGGACCGTCTCCCTCGTCTCCCTCGGCGCGACGGCCACAGAACATCGATCCGATTGCATCCGACGGCAGGCCCCCGGAAGTCCCCGAAGGCCCCTGCAGGAGGCCCCCGGGGAGCACGAGCGAAGCGGCCACAGGCAGTGGGCCAAAGCGGGGGGGGCAGGCTCAGGGGGGCCAGCGCAGCATGGCCTGAGGCATACGAGCGGGCGACGGGGGGGCAAGGTGACGTACGGAAAGAAGGAGGAGGAGATGCATAAGAGTAAGAAGAAGAAGAAGAAGAGAAGAAAACGCATCGTGGGGCCATGAATCGAACAAACCGAAAGCTGCAGAAGCAACGAGTGTCGGAAGTCCGCCGGGAATTCCTGACTCTGCCCAGCCTGGAACATATCCCTATCCCTATGCTGGGCACCTCCTCATCGCGATGCCAATCTGAGGGAGTCCCGCATGTTTTGAGGGCGAATCCCTAAGATTGTCATCCTTTTGGCGTGTCAATCTTAGGGATAGGGATACGTTCGAGGCTGGTAAGAATCGGCGCAGGACCCCCCCGCGCCAGGGGCGGCGCCGGAGGCACCGCCAAGGAGGCCCAGTGCCGATCCAAGAGACCCGCGCGGGTCTCTGACAATTTGATGCTCATGCCGTTGCTTCTTCTCCGAGTGAATGAAACCTCGGTGACGTTACGGCCCCGGCCATGGTACCCACACGCCCCTAGTCCTGACACCCCCATCTTCGGCGACCCCGCTCCTCCTCCTCGCCCCTCCTCCTCTGCGAGGGAGCCCAGGACGGGCACTCGGCTGAGGATCTGGACGGCGCCTTCGTTGACTCCGGGAGCTTGTATAGCTTGATGGTTCTCGCCATCGTCATGCGGTTGCCGAGGTGCGAGAAGCCCACCTCGCGCGCGAGCGCTTTTCAGGAATAGGAAGCAACCTCCAGAAGGTCTTCGCAAGAACGATTCAACAAGCCAGTAAGCTGGATCACCCCGTAGTGAGCCCACTACTAAGCCCAATGCTAAGCCAGATTAAGCCAGATAGTAAGATGGAGAAAAAAGTGTGGCATATAAGGCCTGTTTTCGGCGACGGATATACCAACACTGACGCTCAATCTAACCTCCCTTGAGCTGCATCCTAAGGAGGAGGAAGATGACGGAAAGAAGGAAGAAAGAAAAAACAATATCGGTCAGCATCGAACCGGAAAACCGGAGAATCGACTCGGCATGTACGTCGGATCGGGCTGCATTGCCACAGGCTGGGGACTGGGCCAGACCAGCTACGCCTAGATGCACAACGACGCCACGCGACCCTCGGGCCGCATCGGATTGTCGTGAGGTCGGAGTCGAATCGGTTCGGGCCAAGCGAAAAATCGGTATAGAATCGGATCCGCTCGAAATCCGCTGGACATAGTGGGTAGGGGGAGGGGGGACGGCTCCTTAGAAGCCCCCGCCGCTTCTTAGAAGGCGCTGGCCCTTCACCTATAGACCAGGCAGCCTCCTTCCAAGACGCCCTCCTCCCCCCCTGCCCTTATGTCGGGCGTGTCCCCCTACAGGGAGATTTTCGACGAAAAATAAGAAGTACCCCAAACTTGGGCGCCCGAGTTATCTGGGGTAACTCGGGTCCGGGGTAACTCGGGTTTGGATTCCCGATAAAGGAACCCGAGTTAGCCCTGACCCGAATTACCCCTGATGATGTGGGGCTCTGGACGCCCGAGTTATCCGGGGTAACTCGGGTCCAGGGTAATTCGGGTTTGGATTCCCGAAAAACGAACCCGAGTTATCCCTGACCCGAGTTACCCCTGATGATTCGGGGCTCTGACAAACATACCCCAAAAAGGTAAAACAATACCCCCAAAAATGGTCCCCATACTTTTTTGGACCATGTTTTGATGATTTGTTGGGTATTTTGCATTTTTCGTCGAAACTCCCCCTGCAGGGGGACACGCCCGACTGAACCCTGCGCCCCTCTACTGCACGTGGCCGAGCAACGGGCGACGCCCGCTCGAGAGGGATGGAGGGGCCCTGGGACACACGAACAAATACACACAAACAAACACATTCCCCATATTTTCCCACATTTTCTAAGTTTCTGTCTCCCCCCCCACTCCCCATATCGGGTCGGGCGAAAGGGGGGGATAGCAAAGGGGGGGTTTGAGAATCAGCTCACGTAGCTGATTTTCAACGCGCCTCCCGGCGCCGGGAGGCGCCCATGTATCGAGAAGTGGGCCCCTCGGTGGGGCCGAAACCAGCTGCATGCGGCAGATTTCGTAACCCCCCCTTTCCCAATCCCCCCCTTTCGCCCGGCACTCCCCATAGTTTCCCATATTTCCTGGGGAATCGACGATGGATTGTGCCTGGATTTCTTTTTTCCCTCCCGGAGGGATCCCTGGCTCGTGGCGCCCTTCCCCGAGGAGCGGCCCCATCCCCCCTCCCGAATTCCCCGAGGACCAGGAGGCGCCCGGCGGGCGCTCCTGGGGCCCCTGGGCTGAAAAGTCGGGCCTGCCCCCCTACACAGGGAGATCGGAAAACCAAACATACCCCAAAAAGAATCAAAACGTAGTCCAAAAAAAGCCTGGGGACTACTTTTTGATCAGCATTTTTTTGCCATTCTGGAGCATTTTTGCGGTATTTTGCATTTTTCCGCCCAAAATCCCCCTGCAGGGGGAGACGCCTGACTTAACCCTGGGCGCCGCCGATGCCTCTGATCGGCCTGCGGCGGCCCCCTGCGCCGGCGCCCGTGCAGCCGGGGCTGGGCCACGGGGAGACCTTCCACAAGAGACCCAACCTGGAGACACCAGGACGTCCATTCGGGTCGGGCGAAAGGGGGGGATAGCAAAGGGGGGGGTTTGAGAATCAGCTCGCGTAGCCGATTTCCCCGGCGCCTCCCGGCGCCGGAGGCGGCTATGTATCGAGGAATGGGCCCCTCGGTGAGGCCGAAACCAGCTGCATGCAGCAAATTTCGGATTTCCCCCTTTTCCCAATCCCCCCCTTTCGCCCGGCCCGATCGATTCATCTCCGGTGTGGGAACGTTACGCTTGCCATCGCGAGACCATCGAAACCTAAGAAACCCAGGGCACCCTGGAGGCGAACAAGGTGTTTCTTGGCATGGGTCTCCAGTGTAACGCGGGCAATAATTATATCCATATCCAGGGCGTCTTGGACTTTTGTGGAAGGGGCGCCGCAAGGCCGATGCGCACTGGGTGCGGATAAAATTCGAGCCTCTAGTAGGGGCCTGATTTTTATCCATATCCAGTGCTCCTCGGCTTTCTGGGGAAGGGAGTCCGACCCTTTTCTACAGCCCTCGCTGCCCCCCCGTTCATCGCCCCCCCCCACACGCGAGACCCAACAGGAGAGGCACAGCGTCGGACCAAAGTAGATCGGTAGTAGATCGGGGATCTCTGGGATTTGCCGGTTCTGGAAAATGCATCGGGCGCCGAGGCGTTTTCAAGACGTTCCAGAACGCTCTGGAGCGATGCATCCCTGTCCTAGCCCCCGCCCAACCCTGGGTCCCCAAACGGCCCCCCGAACCCAAGCCTGAGAGAACACACTCAGATGCGCTGGCCGGAGAGGGCCCCAGGCGCCAATACATAACTACATATATACATATACATATATATACACCTATCTATATATATATATATATATGGATATGAGATACGCTGGGATTGAAGAAATCAGTCTGCCCGAGGCGTGAGGGAGAACGGGAAATTCGCTGGAATTCGCTGGTATCCACACGGTGGGAGCGAATTCGACCAACGAGGAACACAGGCGGCGGCCCACGGAGGACGGCCTCCAGACTCACTGTGCCCAGCTCCCTGGCCAGAGGCAGCGGACGTGCACAGCCGCCCCGCCTGGGCCCCCGAACCTCCGACGCATGGATGTTTACAGCGCGACCCCCCCGAGACTCTGGACCACTTTTCGGTGGCCAACTATTCGTCCTGGACTATGCTGCTCTCATCGTACTTAAGAACCACGTCCCAGATCTATAATGTCGAGCACCTGGAAACGTGTCGAAAGAGTGTCGACACAGTGTCTCCCAGGGCCCGACACGTGAAAACCCTCGAGTTTCTGGGTGCTCGTCTGGTGCTCGAAATTCTGTCTGGTGACCAAGGCCAAAGTAGGTTGGAACATCCTCAGTCCTGGACCGCTTCCTGACGGCCCCAGGCCCCGGCGAGGGCTCCCAAACGCCGAACCGAAGATGGCGAGACACCTCCGTCTTGATTCTTCCAATTCCGTTGGGAGTCCCGGCCCATCCCCTGACGGCAACGGCAACGATATCCGAGGAACAGACAACTGCAGAAATAATTTGAACCTTCGGAGCTCCACTCCGATTCCCTGGGAACGCTCCAGGGGCAACGCCGGAGGCGCCGGATTCCTGGGCTTCCAGCGCTGATCCAGGAGAGCCGCCCGGAGCTCTGAATCTCTTTTGAGGCCGCTGGTTCCTCGAATGCGTACGGTCGGCCCGTATCAGAAGGATGCGCGGTTAGGATGCAGGGGCCTTGGAGGGCCATGTTAACGTTACTCGAACGAGGTTGGCCAGGGAAAGTCGCTAAAGATGGGCCGAAGGAGCAAGGATGCAAGGGTAGTCTTGGGACGGTTGCCCATCCTTACTGTGCGGGTTGACTGTGCGTCTCGTCGCCCCATCTGGGCCGGCCCCGACGACGTCAGCGACAAGCACGCGGGGCCTCGATAAGCTTCTTCGGGTTCAGGTTCCGGTGGTAGTAGCGGCACTCGCTCACGGGCCGCGGCAGCACGACGCCCGCGGTGTAGACCTGGCCGGGCCCGCGGGCCGTTCCCCGGAGGAGGGGGGGAGGGGAACCGGGGGGGGCGGGGGGCCCTTCCTCCTTCTCCTCGTTCTCCTCCGAGCTTCGAGCTGAGCACAAGTTCGGAGTGATGCGGTGCCCCCCGATGCCCTCGATGGCCTTCCTTCACCAGGCACGGCTGGGGGAACGCAGAGCACGCACAAAAATGACGCGCTCTTGGAGACCACCGCTGGGCTTCCAATGGCCCGCCTGCGCCGGGCCATGCGGTCCCGGCGTCCGCCGCGATGGTTGTGTCAGGTGCTCCAACGGGTGCAAGAAGGCTCTGGGGCCTGCTTGCTGCAACCCGGATCTGCTGTTGAAGTGGCCCTGCGGGGTCTCGTTGTCGGAGGTGGCCCACAGAGTGGTGGCGCAGTCTACGCCCTGTGGGGGCGGACGGGCCTCTGCCTCGTGAAGGCGCGCCTGCAGCGACAACGCGGCCCTGCACGCCAAGCCAGACTCCCTGAGCACGTGCGAGTACTACTCCGACCGCCTTCTGTGGGAGGGTGGCGGCACGCGCTGCTGCGGCGTGACCTCCGGACAATCGGTTTCTTGCTCCTGGTATGGTTGGACGGACTATCGGCCGCAACGACAGCTCGGAGTCACTCCTTATCCGAATGGTGGCGCCGGATTGGCGTGCTGCGGGGCAGCGTCGATCACAAGCTGGGCGTGGGCGGGCAAGGCGCTTCCAGGTGCGCACTGCCCGCAGGCGGAGTCCGCCCCCTCGGCGCCGCCAGCGCGCACCCTCTCGCAGCCGGTGCGCGGGCCTCCTCGGTGACAGGCCAGTAGCAGGCGGGAGCGGAGAGGGTGGAGGAGCTGAGGGCGGCTTGGAGCAGGAGGGACCTAGCGGAAGTTGGACGCAACAGCCAGCGACTGGCAAGAGCCCAAGTGGGTCCCACGGGCGTCGGGGCGCAGAATGACGACCAGGAGGGAATGGGACGAATCACGGACGCTCCCAGAAGGAAGCAACACCCACCATCAAGAAAGAGATGCGGAAGGAATCCCGAGCCACCACCGACCCATTCGACCTAACGGCACTCATCGATGCGATCGAACTCGCCCAGCTAGACATGAAGAAAGTGGCGCATAAGCTATTTCGCACAGGTCTCCGGCAGGGTCACCCTTTAAGAACGGCGACAGCAAAAGCGTGGAGGATGAGTTTCACCAGGCCCCCCAAGATCCAGGACAGAGGTGGAGTAGGACTCGAGCGGTGTCAGATCTGTCCTCGGAACATCAGGACCCAGCGCGAGCAGGCATTCCGAAACATAAGAATTCAAACAACACCATCGACTTGAACGTCAGCGAAACGACGGCAATGCGCAAAAACAGAAAGGTATAACCCCGAGGCGAAGGTGGGAGTTTCGCACGCTGTGGTTATCAAAACCATACCGGATGTATTCGCCGGCGGCAGCTGGCTCACGCAGGATCTACTGCCACGGGAACTCTGGGACGTGGGCGTGCAACGTTACAAGGAAGGTGTGCTTTCACAGTGCCATGTCGAGAACCGCCAGACCCTCATACTGTAAGCGACTCATCGGATGCCCACGCCTGGTGCCCAACTTCGGTGTTTTCTTCCCACAGACAGTCGGCAAGTGAACGAGAATGCGTACGATACACAACGAACCAATAGTACAGTTCGCACAAGGTGGCGGGCAATTGCCCAAACCTGCGTTAATCCAAGTCCGGGGGCCCTCGAAATCGAATGAACATGGGATGAACAATGGCGCGGGGGATAACCGAGCGCGGGCGAAAAAAAATACCCCCCTTTTCCCCCTGCATCTTTATAGTCCCCGTCCATCAAAGATTCACTTGTGGAGATAGGCGCGGAGGCCGAGCTTTGTAGTCCACGGGGAAGTTGCGAATCGAAGTTGCTAACATCTCATGTGGACCAGCAACAACATCAAAAACGCAGAGCATGGCCATGGTGATCTCACCACACCGGCGTCCGCAATCACGAACGTGTGGCAGGGCCGTGGGACTCCCACCTGTTCAGTTTGCACAAGTTACGAACGCGCGGCAGGGCCATCGCATTTTCACTTTCTCAACCGTTCCCGACTCAGGAACGTGTGGCAAGGCCATGGGGACCGATTGGACGTTGATTGTACATGCGTTTTTTTCGAGCAAGCCGAGCATTGGAGATGATTACTGTGTTAGCGCACCCCTCACACGGTTCGTGGCCTTTCCTCCTCCTCCTCCTCCTCCTCCTCCTCCTCCGTCCTTCTCCTCCTCTGCCCCCGCAGCTGCCCGGGCCCGCGCTTCCCCGAGTCTCCCAGACTCGAAGCTTTCCAACCTGTTCGAGGCACCGAGCCTCTTCGCCCCAGGGGCAGCGATAGGGGGGGATAGGCATGCCGAACCTGCTCAAGAACGTGCGGATCCACGATCGGGCGCGCATCGCCGATGCATCGCCGATTCCAGGTCGATGTTCCCCTCCCCCAATGCCTATCCCCTCCCCCCCCCACATCGTTGCCCCTGAAAGCGTCGCGAGCCTCAGCCATGTCCCAGGCCGCCGAGCGCGCCGCGTCGGCGAGCCTCCCCGCCGAGGCCCTCAAGCAGGTGGTGGCCCAGAGCCCGACCCCGAACTCGAACGAGATCCTCGAGCGCATGACCAAGCAGGACGCTGCAATCCGACAAGATCGCGATCGCCGAGATGCGCCAGTGAAAACCGAGCGCGCAGGGCACGGATGCAGCGAGGATGACGGCCTGCTTTTTCAAGGCCGATGGCGCCTTGTAATGAAGGTGCGCCCAGCAAACCGTCCTCGAGATGGTCTACAACGGCAGGTCTCTCAAGAGCATCGAGTACGGCCACGTCTTCAACGAGAAGGACAAAAGTCGCATCGAGCTGGCCGTGGCGTTGTCCTACAAGACCCACTGCGAGAATGACGAGCGCATCTACGACATCATCGAGATCCAGGGAGAGCCGCCCGAAAACCTCTTCTAGCTCATGCTGAGCTTCAATGCCGAGATGCACGAGCTTGCCAAGAAGAAGGACATCGAGCTGTGCGCCGAGAACGTCAAGAGCCTCACCCGCGTCTCCTACACCGAGCGCGTCGGCAAGGCCCTCCCCGACATCCCCGCCGAACTAACCCACCTCCACGACCCAGTGCTGCCGACCAACCAGAAGTTCGAGCCCGTCGAGAAAGTGGGGCGAGGAGCCCATCCGGCCTGAATGCCGAGCAGCTCTTCGAGTTGATCCCGAAGCCTAGCAATGCGCCATGTGGTGCCGCGAGAACGGCGCGCTGTCGAGCCGCGTGCGGCCCGCCAAAAGCCCCGCGCAAGCGGTCGCCAAGTGGTGCTGGAGCGCCAAGAGGACAGCCGGCATGACGCACGAGACCCAGGCGCGGAGCTACCAGGACAAGCGCTCCGAGCTGGACTACTCGAGATCCGTCAAGCAGCAGGAGATCGAGACAACGCTTCTGAACCAGCACATCAAGCTGAATTTCGAGACGTTCGCCAAGATCCACGCCGAGTACGACAAGGCCGCCACGAACAAGCGGAAGCCCGAGAGGAGCCAGGCCGACGCGAAGGCCGAGCCAGAGACCGCCGACAAGTTCGTGCTCGCGGACGCCTGAGAGCCCGGCGCACGAGCGCCCCGAGCCAAGCGCTCCGATGCTTCTCGCTACGAGGGTGCCGTTTCGAGGCGCACCCTCAAGCCATCTGCTTGTCAAGCTCCTAGAGAGCGTTCGAGCACGCGCGAGTGGCGTTCCAAGCTGCGGGTCGCTGGCCCCCCCCCTCTCGCCGAGTGATCCTCGATCGAAAACCGCGCAATCAAGCGCGCCCGATCCTCCATCCTCGGATCGAGGACCCGAGATCTTGAGTCCAAGCATCTTCGAGCACCACCATGGATCCTATATCCGAGGATCGCCAGGCTGAGACTCGAAGATCTCGGGTTCCCGATCCGAGGATCAAGGATCGAGCCTCGGCGATCCTCGACCGTCACCGTCGCCGTCGTCAGGCCCGGGCCGCCGTCAAGGAGGCTCGATCCTCGGATCGAAGATCCGAGATCTTGGCCCCGCGCGTCTTCGAGCGCATTGGATCCTAGATCCGAAGATCGCCATGCTTGGACTCGACGATCTCGGGCTCGCCATCCGTGGATCGAGCGTCGAGCCCCGGCGATGGTAGATCGCCCTCGTCGCCGTCATCGGGCCCGCACTGCCATCGAGCTCGCTCGATCCCTCACTCTCGGAACGAGGATCCGAGATCCTGGTCTTGAGCATCTGCGAACACCTCGGATCCGAGATCCGAGGGTGGCCAAGCCTGGGCTCGAAGATCTCGGGCTCGACATCCGAGGCTCGAGGGCCGAGCCTCGGCGATCGCACATCGCCCCCCTCGCCGCCCTCGGGCGCTCAGGCCGCCGCCGAGGAGGCTCGATCCCTCATCCTCGGATCGAGGATCCGAGATCTTGGTCTTCAGCATCTGCGAGCACTTCGCATCCTAGATCCGAGGATCGCCAAGCTTGGGCCCCAGCGTGCTGGGTCGTCGGTCCGAAGATCGGGGGCTGAGCCTCGACGCCTGGCGGTCACGCGCAAACGCACCAACGCGCGGACACGCGCGCGCATATTCTCGCACACTCGCACACTCGCACGCTCTCACACACACGCACACACACACGCACTCCCACACGCACACACTAAAACACTCACACATTCGCATACGCCAAAGCAAAAAGCTCAAGCAACAGCGGCCACGACTGCAACAGCAAGCAGCTAAACAGCAGCAGCAGGCCACAACAGCAACATGACAAACAACAAGAGCACAAACAACAGCTGCGCAAACAACAAACAGCAACAATACAAACAACAATAACACACGCAACAAGACAAACAACAAACTCAAGAGGCCAAACACGAAAAACAACAAGCAAACGTGGCCAATCTAGGCGCAAGCATTCCAAGCCAGCTGAGGACGCAGCGCTCCATGGCCGAGTCGGACAGCGACGATCGTCGGCCTTTTCGCCGAGCGGTCGGACGGCGAAG